ATGGGCCTGATAGAAGGTAGACCTGGCTGTGCGTGACTCCGTCTCCAGCCCGCCCTGTTGGCGTTAGCGTGAAGGATGTGGCAGGGAGGCTCCAGGCGGAAACACCGAAATTCCCTCGGGGCGGTAGCCGGCAGCCGGTATCGGGGGAGCCTTTCTCATTCGTCGTCCTCCGGCATAGCTAGGTCACTGGCTACCGCGAGGCTGCCCCCGAAGATCGCCCCCACGCACTCAGTTCCATCCCCGTGCACTGGGAGCGGGCAGTGGCTCTGCGGGCAGAACAAACAAGTTTCTCTCGAGCTTTGGGCCCCTCACGCCTTTTGAGAGCCGCGCTGCCGTGGCCGCGGGACAGGCGTGGGTTTTGCCTCGGAGATACTGTAACAGCCTCGGGGCTGGCTCGGGTTTGTAACGCAGTTGCTCGCGTTTGGGTCGGTTTTCAGTCCGGCCGAGCGGCCCCGCGACCGTGTTGCGAGGCAAAGCCCCGAACACGGCGCTGCGCTGCAGAGCCCTTTGCGCAGGAGCCCCCAGTGCCACGTGTGCAGACACAGCTGCGTGAGAAACAACGCTCACTTTTAAAGTTTCAAAGGTTTATTAAACCTTAACAGAATACAAGAAGAGACTGAATAAAGAAAAATTGCAGCGCCCAGAGTACGCCCCCATACGGCCATGTGCTCGGCTACAAAATGGATACTCTGTTTTTTACATCCTCGGCCCCCTCCAAAGTCTTGACAGTTTACTCCTTCTCTGCCGTCCATTGGTGGAGATCACTTTCCTACACCTCGATTGGAGGCCAGGTGTTGCCATGTCGCGCCTCCTACTAATAAGCCTGCCTTTCCTAAATGCCCTGGCTAGTGACAGCAATACTCGGGGAAAGGGAAGAGGACTGTGGGGAGAGCATACCAAAATAACATAACTATACATCGATAAAACTTCTCTTAACGTACACATAATGCCCATCTCTTAATTCTGAGAGCCAACTATCGCATTAGCTATCTACAGCAGCTGGATTCCTCCTCACGGACAAGAGCACGCCAGCCCGGGCCCTGCCCTGTGTGCGTCCCCAAGCCGGTCGCTCCAGCCGCTACTGCAGAACTCGCACTGACGGCCGAGCCCCGCCCCGCCGCCGTTGACACGGCACTATTTCCAGACACTGCAGGCAGTTCAGGGGCGGCCTGGGACAGCCCTAGTTTATTCCACCGCTTCGGCTGGTTTTACAGCGGTGCTGGCGGTACTGAGGCGGGGGTAGGACTACGACTCCCAGGCTGTTTCGCGGCCGGTGTACATCCCGGCGTGCCTCGCGGCCGGCCGGCTTGGCGGAGAGGGGTGGTCCTGCTTGGTCTCCTCCTCCTCCT